TCTATCTATCTATCTATCTATCTATCTATCTATCTATCTATCTATCTATCTATCTGTATCTATCTATCTATCTATCTATCTATCTATCCCCACACCACCACCACTGCACTTTCCACAGCGCTGGGCAGATGTCAATGTGGACTTCACCCGGAGGAAGAAGGTCATCTTGTACTCAAGACACCACGACTTTGTCTACTACGATATCGCCAAGGCCAAAACCTACACACAAATTCATCATGAATGCTGGTATGTTGTCACCATCATCATCATCTTTCTCACACTGCACCAGGGTATAGGCCTCGAACAAATACTTTCTCACCCTGCACCAGGGTATAGGTCACGAACAAACACCTTCCACCTTTCTCTATCCTGGGCTAGCCTCTTGGTGCTGTTCCATTTCTTCCCACTTTTCTGTACATCCTTTTCGGTGATTCTTCTCCAGGTTCCACGCGGTCTTCCCCTTGATCTTTTACCCTCCTGTGGATTCCAATCCAACTCTTTCTTTGTTATGCAGCTGCCTGACATCCTGAGAGTATGTCCAATCTATCGCCACCGCCTTTTCCCTACCTCATCTCTGACTGGGATCTGTCTTGTTTTCCTTAAACACTTCCTCGTTGGTGACCTTGTGGATAGGTCAATTGCATTATATTTTCTCAGATTGCTTGATAATGGCATGAATACGTCGATAAAAGACAATTTGAGCGTTTCATTCGGAACTTACCCGACCTACTTCGCAGGTCCGAATTCTTCATTCACTGTGGGACCTCGACATTTGGGTCAATGTGACGTGAAGTGAGAAATACGCTTTGATTTAGTTTAAGGACTGAGAATTAAAAAAATATATTGAGTGTGTGTAGGAGGGGGAAGGGGGGGTTAAAAAAAGATCACTGTTGGGATCTGTAAAGAAGAAGAGGGGCTGGAGAAAAAAATCAACGTTACCGAATATCAACTCAAGCACGTTCAACACAAGCAGAGTGGGAGGTTGGTGGGTGTTCTGGTGTGGTTTGCTTCTTCTTTCCTATCAAACATCTATCGTCTTTATGTCCCCTCCTTCTTTTTTGTGTTTGTTACTCTCTTGTAACACCTCTAATCTGCGGCACTTATATGACCTTATAGTGTTGCAAGCGCCTTGAAACAGTTACTAAAACCATACAAGCGGAGTCGACTGTACACTTGTGTGAAAGTGAAAGGAGGATTACATGTCCATTTTTGTGACGCGGAGTCGAACGTATTGTACGAACCTTGGAATATCAAGGCTTAATAATAATAATAATTAATAATAACTGCATTTATATAGCGCATATCCATGCTCAAGAGCATGCTCTATGCGCTTTACAACTATTATTACCCCAGCAGACCCCCTAAGAACACTCAGAAACATTCTCAGCTTCTGCGGAAGCATACAGTGCAAGCTGCGGATTTTACGCGCTCAAACACTATCAAACTGACAAGATCGTTCACTGTCTGTAGCCCATTCCCACCTGGGTGAAGTGAGGAAAATGTGTGCAAAGTGCCTTTCCCAAGGACACACGTTGTGCCCCTGACGGGATTCGAACCCACGACCTTACGGTTGCGAGTCCGAGAGCCTAACCACTAGGCCACTGACGCCACTTGTTCTCACACGCATGCGCGAAGTTTTAGAAACAGTTTTCTACGGCAGTTGCTGGTCATGCCATGACGTCTATACACCCTAACAGTATGAAGAACTATTCTTTACTTTCTTTTCTTTCTTTTTTTTTCCTTTAAGGATTTCTGCGACAGCCGCTATGGACAAGGTGATCCAGTGTATCCCTGAGGACGCGGAGCTCACCTTTGGGGACTCGCCGTTTTTCCGCGCGCTCATGCCCAT